TACATCACAAATCAGAAGTTTGGAGGAACTATTTGCACCTTAAGAGTGTTAGCGCGAGTGGTGGGGGGGGGGGGGGGAAACCCCAACAAACTCTTCCTTAGCCTTATATCTCACTCCTGCTAAGATTGAGTACATAAAATAACATAATTATTCCTGCAACCATAGTTTATATCATATATTAAGTAGTTAGTTAATCGCTAGTTTATTAGATAGTTAGTTAATTAGTTGATCACCATATTTTCCTATCATAGTCTTTACTACCTAAGCTATTAATCCATCTTAGCTTATAATAATATATACATGTGTACTTTATAGGTAAATCTTGGACCCACTGGTCAAATGTAAAGTTCAAAATAATGAATTATGTATGGGATTCCCGGTCCAAGTATCGTTCTGTTTATGTTTGTAGGTTATGGTCGCGTTTGTCTCCCTTAGGGTCGTATCGCTTTTTCTTAGAGACTGTTTGCCACTGGGGAGGTTGTAGGGGAAGCGTTGGTAGTGGGTCCCAACCTATTATTTTTGGGCATTTAATGTCCAGGTCTCTGCAGAAATTTTCCAGATCTTCAGGGACTTTCAGATTAGCTGATTTACCATCTCGTCGAGCCATAAGGCTCAAATTTGTGCCACTGTTGACTATGGATAGATCCATCCGGTATAATCTTAGGGTCTTGGGGTACTCCAACAGGTGTAACGAGAGGTAGGAATATCTCACTCGTAAGATTTTTCTCTTTTACCAGACCCATTTCGTTTTTACTTTTGCTTTGAAACATAAGTCCTTGGGCTCTCTGTGCTTTTTGTATCTTTGGGATCTCTCTTGGAGTATACTGGGCTTTATCTTCAGTTAAGGGGTGGGAAGAGGTTGGCAGGAGAGAGGATTCCATGTCTGCAGCATATAATACCTGGAGTGACTGGAGTGACTGTCTGTCAGATGATGAGGCAGGGGAGCTCCTTCCCTGCTCTTCGCTAATCGATGACTGCCAAAGAGGGAGTGTGTTGGGGGAGATACCTGGGATACATGATAGCTGGTTGCATACCTTAATGGCAGTGTCGATAGTTTCATGTTCCATCTGGCCGTCGATCGGGTTGTCCGGTATTATGGCTGTGAAGGAGGATCCAGCACTTGGATCTGTCTCACTAGGGGATCCGCCGCACACCGAGGCAGTCGCGGCGTCTGACGTCATTCCTATGCGCTCGGGTGTGCGGTCCAGCGAGTTGAAATACGATCTGATCCCTGTATCCATTTTCTGGGGCGAGCAGCGGTCGCTGTTCGTCTTTGCTGTCATCTTCGGTTTGGATGCCTAAGGCCCCGTTCACATATAGCGAATTGTCGCGCGATTTCCGCCGCGATATCGCGCATTTTTGCCGCGCGATATCGCGAGAAGTCGCCGGCCAATGTTATTCAATGGAGCTGTCTTAACTCCATGTCGCTCGTCGCGGTCGCAAGTCGCTTCTACCGGACCCTTTTTTCGGTGGATTTTGCGCGATTTTGCTTTTTTTCTATGGAGCCCGACGGGGAAGGTCGCGCTACCGTCGATGGATCGTCGCTGGAACGTCGCCCCGAAAGTCGCGCTATCCCGGCCGTGCGGATCCGCTGCAAAAGGTATGTCGCTAGGTGTGAATGGGGTCTTAGTCTTGGATGACTTGGACCTCGGACCCTTGTTATGCCTCATTGCACTCCCTCTCATGGTGGGTGGTAATTTTCTATGGGACTCCTGTCTAAAACTATTTCGTGTCTCGTATATCCTCCGGCAGCAGTAGCAGCAGCTTAGGGCAGGGAGAGCTGCCGTCGGTCTCGGACGGAGGCTCTAGCTTTGCATCTGGTCACTAGCCGTGCTGAAAGCCGAAGCTGGCCGAGCGGCCGGCCGACAGCAAATGATACAAAAAACAATAACTTAGGTATATTAAGGATGGTGTGGGAGATGTCATACTATAGCTAAAAACGAAGTGTGGGAAATGATTATTATATGTATAATGCCACATTACTTCCTGTGTAATAATGAATGGGAGGACACCGAAAAGATATCCATATAAATCTATAACAAACAATCTTAATAGATTGCATAATGGTGCATAAACATCTAATGAAAAAAACATAAACCGGTATAAAGCAAATGCTACAAGGAACAATAGCTGGAACATATAGAGGATGGTGTGGGAAAAGTTTTAGTATAACTTATAAACAAAGTGCGGAAAAGGTTTACTTATGTATATCGTATATGATAAATAGGGACCATAAAGCTCTGTATCAAACAACCTATAATTGCATGGTGGTGCATAAACCTTCTAATGCACTAGGGCAAGTAATGGGAAAATAATTAAACCATCTAAAAACACTTAAATAATTATATGCGATTATGCCAATTTTAATAATTCCTTAAAAAACAGTTCAAATCCAGTTCGATGTTCAAACCCCTAGGGACCATAGTGTCTAACAAATATATCCACTTTGTTTCTCTTTCTCTTTCTTCTTTAAAAAGAGAGATTTCTCTTTTTAAATTATTCCCTCTCCAGTATTTCAACTCCACAAAATTTTAGACCTATGGGTCCTTGTTGTGGCACAGTTTGAAATGTTTAGATACACTGTTTGGTGAACCCATTTTTTATATTATTAATGTGTTCCTGTATCCGAATCTTAAGCTGTCTCATGGTCCTCCCCACGTATTGTTGCCCACACGGGCATTCGAGCAAGTATGTGACATGCGTTGTTCCACAGGAAATAAATTAATTTATATTAACCTCTTGTTATTTGTATTAGACTGGAATTGTGTAATTTTTCTTTTTTGTTTTGTTAAGCGGCATCCTACACATCTCCCACACGGATAAAATCCTATTCCATTAAACAATGTCAGAACCCCCTAAAAAAAACCCTAAAAAAACACTATGACATTATGCACCAATTTGTCCTTTAATGTGGGGGCTCTTCTATAAATGACATTCGGTTTGGTTGGTAAGATAGGTCCTAGTACTTTGTCCTTCATTAAAATATTCCAATGTTTAACCATAATCTGCTCTAGTTCTTTATATTGAAATGAATAATCTGTAACAAAAGTAATCGTATAATCCTTATTATTTCTATTTCCTGTTTTTAATAATTCACCTCTGTTAGTTTTACCTATTTTTTGTTGTATCCATCTCCAACTTGTCATATCCCTTTTCTAAAAAACGGTTAGCGATAGCGTTAGCCTGTATCTCAAAATCTTCATCTAAAGTACAGTTACGTCTAACTCTAGTTAATTGTCCCTTGGGTATTCCAGTAATCCAAGCTTTAAACATAATAGTTCCGTACTCTGATACAGAAAGTTGAAAATGTACAAATGTCTTAGATAGTGAACCTTGGCTCTGTTTCTATCTTGTTTCTATCTTGAATTCTAAATTAAAATTTAGATTTAAACTCTACATATACTTTTTTGCTATTGTATTTTATATGCTATAAAGTATTTACTTTCCCAACATATTTCAGACTGTGTTTTGTATACTTTTTTGGCACATCTGATAACTCAGCAATTCCATATGTATAGGCAGTATCATAAAGAATCAGCATGCAATAACCATATAAGATTTGGGTAACAAAAAAAAGACACACACATGTTGAACATGATACATTGATACATTTATTACTTCAAGAGAGAGTTATTTTTATTATGATTTTGGAAAACAACTAGATAAGAAATATTAACAAACAGCTGTTCTAAAAAAAAGAAAAACTTGGGCAAAATTTTGAATCAGAACATTGCCATTTTATTGTAAAAATGAAATGAATAGCTCAGAAAAAAAATAGATAGCAATAAATTAACAGGTGACCCCTGTCACCATTGAAGATGTTTCTCATCACTTCCTATCTTTGTGGCACCCTGTTACCTGAACCAGAAGTGAATACAAATTTCCCCAGTAGAAATACAGACAGCATTAAAAACTCTTCTTCAATCTATAAAAAAAAAATTAAAAAAGGTTTGGTTGGAGTTGGGCTTCATTTGCATCAAAGCAGCATTCTAGGTAAACAGGTAAATCCACAGTTTAAATCTGTATATTGTATGTGAACTATTTTACTTGTAATTCTGTTCAGCTAGCCTTGTTATTGAGGATAAAGAGTACAGGTCCTACCCTCCAATTAAGCTACAGTTCCCCCCCTCTCGCAAGCATATTCACGGTGTTAATTTCACAGCAGTGTGCAGTGGCATCTGATTGCCTCAGAGTGCTGACTCACGCTTTACCAGTCTGAGAGCTGCTGTTCAAGGGATTGCATGAGGCTGAAATCCATGTACTCAAGAAAACCATCAGCTAAAGGATTTTCAGAATCCGACACTTCCAGAAGTGTTGGATTTCTGTCCCTCATCCCACCCCTGCTCACTGTGGTTCCTCCAACTGGCTACTAGGTCACTACAAGACATAGTTCAAGCTGATGAGTCAAACAACTCAACACAGCGAGGCACCAGGAATTCTACACTCCCAGGAGTTTTGGATTCTGAAAATTTCTCAGCAGGCAGTTCCTTTTGACTACTACAGAAATTGTCAGCGCAGGTAGGGGAGATATATTTTAGTTTACACATTTTTTCAGTGGCAGGATAAGATTGATAGTTAAACAAAATTGGTATGGCTTGTTACAAAAAGAATGTAAGTTTGCTATTTTTTACTTATTGTGTATCATTTAAACTATTAAATGTAGTATTTCACTAGTGTAATAAGTGAAAAGTGCATTCTTCTATTACTGTATCATTACAAACAAAAAATCATTTTACCTTTCCATACAAATATTTTGCTCTTTAGATAATTTTAGCTTTGAGAAAAAATAAGAAATATTAAAAAAACAAACTGTCAGCATCAAAGACTGATATTTTCTCACAATAGTTAATGCAAATATGAGGAATTTGATGATCAGAATGTAAGCGAAACCACAGAATGAACTGGATACTCAGGTTCCAAGCAGGTATACTGTTGTTTTGTTGAGGTAACAGTCCATGTAAATGCCCCCGGATAGAATAGCTGGTCAGTTTAGGTAGCTGTCAGCGAGAATGAGAGTAACCATCAGTTGTAGAGTATGTTACACATGGCAAAGGAGGTCGGGTCCGCCGTGGCACAACATTAATATATTCACTCTGTTGAATTCTGGTTCTTCTTCCTTTTCTCTGTAAAATAAAGTTTTCATTTAGAGTTTTTACTTATAATTCTTATTAATAGGTACTCAAAGTGTATAGAAACCCTAATAATGAACTTTTCTTATTTGATTCATTTTGGTGTGTTTTGTATACCAATGAATGTATACTGTTATATCTGTTCAATAGGTGCGCAATGGTGTGCAGGAGCACAACGTATGTAGTGTGGGGAAAAGGGGCTAGAATTTATACAGTGGCCCTTAGTGCTAGCACTTGGTGCTAGCACTAAGTGTGTTATTTTGCTTTTGATGTACGTCAATAAATAGACGTAATCGATTTACTATTGGAGTGCCGGTGTCTATTTCTTTTCTTTTACCTCTCTGCCCCTCCATTGACAGGGAATCAGAAACATTGCCTCTGTTTAATGAGTGGTAAACTGACCAAGGAGGATGTCAAACTAACCAAGGAAGCAGTAATGCTAAACCAGGGAGTAGCAGGGTGACCTCATTGACTAGCAGAGGTGGCTAGCCAAAATGATAAATCTTTTGGCAACTATTTGTAGTCTACTTGTCATATCACTTTTTTCAAAGCCATAGTAAGGATGAAGACAAAAATATACATGTACAGTATTGCAGAGACTGTATCACGTCAGCAAAATACAGAGGCTAGATTTATTTACAAGCTATACTGGCAAAAGAGTACATTAAACTTGATGCATGTTTGTAGGATGTAGGAGTGAAGGTACATTTAGTACTTGTGAATGCCATGAAAGGTGGATTATTTACATGCACTGCAAGCTTGTCAGCCACTTCTTTTATGCTCACTAACAGGTGTCCAATTTGGCAACGTTATAACTAGTACAATAAAAAAATAAACCTTGGATGAAAGGAAGTACATTTGTCTTACCACAATATATAGAAAAGCCATAGTGATTATGAGACTGTATAATGCAAAACATCCAAGTGCAATTAATGGACTTAAAGAAGTTGTCTGAATAATAGTAGTCTCATGTTTAGGGCATGCGGGCTCTGAAAAAAAGTAAAAGAAAATAAATAAACCCGGGTTACAAATGACAATAATCTGCCATTGTGACATACATTTCAAGTGATGACTCTGAGAACAAATGTTTTCTAAATATTTCAACCCAAATCATGTATCATTTTTAAAACATAGGGGTCTATTCACGAAGCTGCCGAAGGATCTGGCCGTAGCTTCAGCCGATCCTTTGGCTAGCTTCGGCCCCAGGACAATATTCACAATAGTCACAATAGTCCGTACAGCTCCTGATTATGGCCGAGCGGCTCAGTCGAGCCGAACGCATATGCATCGGCTCGGCTGAGCCGTGCTGAAAGCCGAAGCTGGCTGCTTCTGACAGCTGGGCGGAGCCAGCCGTGATCTTACAGCTGGCTCTGGCCACTTTCAGAGAGATCAGCGTCCCTGGTTACCTGCTAACCAGGGACACTGATCTCCCGACAGCTAACTCTCCCTGGCGCCCAGGGAGTCTCCTGCTCCCGGCCGCCAAGGAGAGAAACACTGCTGTGTCTTTTTTTTCTTTATTCTGACACAAGCGATGTCAGAAAATAAAATAAAAAAAATTCCCATTGAAAAGCATTGGGACATTACTATTGGCTATTTCAATTTGCAATAGCCAATAGTAAACTAGCATTGTACCCGCCCTCTTTTGCAGTTCCCCATCAGGTCCATCAGCAGAGGGCGGGTACAATGCTAGTTTACTATTGCCTATTGCAAATTGAAATAGCCAATAGTAAACTCCCAATGCTTTTGAATGGGAATTCATCTTTTTTTTTCTCTATTCTGACATCGCTCGTGTCAGAATAAAGAAAAAAAAAAAAGACACAGTGGGGTTTAAGAATAGCCCGAACAGCAGTGAGTAGCCTGCCGGAGGTTAGGCTCAGCCAATCCAGATGTTGGATCGGCTGAGTCGAACTCCTTCTGCACTTCGGGTCGGCCGAACATGCTGAGCAGCCATGCTGAGCAGCCTGAAATCAGCCGTACCAGCCTGAAGTGAATAGCCGAACAGTGTTCGGCTCACTTCACTTCAGGTTGGTCATTCACTCGGCTGCCTACGGCAGCTTAGTGAATAGACCCCATATTCTTCGCATTCAGGGGGAGGAGATAACACATATTTGATTATGTAGAGCACACAAATGCTCGTTTAGTTATGACATGTCTAATAAAGAAAGTTGAACTATGTTTTAACTATCTTGGGTTTATGAATACATAATGCTGAATGAAAAAGACAACAATGCATAAGATGACAAAAGTCTCCATTCCCAAAAACAGAATGTGATAAAGGTATTTTTATGTTTGACATATACACGCGCGTTTCCGAGGGCTACCTGGCTTTATCCCAATGGATATGCGTGGCAAATACACCCCAAAGAAGCTCCTGTACTTCTTTGGGCGTAGGGCGTTTTGCAGCGCATTCCCCAAGCGATGTAAAACGCCCAGGTGGGAACCCAGGTGAATTGCTTTTATCTGCCTTTTAGTTAGAACAGCTTTTACTACTTCTGTGGTGAGAAATGGCCTGCACACAGCATATCTAGGCTTGCAGATACTTACTATCAATGGATCATAAACAGTAGTATAACATCATGCTATACCTGTACATGCTGTGTGTAGTCTGTTCCTTCATTGTGCCAGGTGGCAAAAAAAAAAGGCAAGGCAAGTCACTACCTCTTGCAGCAGCTAATTTTTTTGTAGGTCCTAAGTTGATTGCTGCTTCCAAAGTGCCAAATTAACCTACTTCTGAGCTGCATCAAGTTCTGTTTGCATTAACATTGATTTGAATGGTAAAGAAAACCAGCTCAGAGACAAACAAAAACATGTTACAATTTCCCTTAAAGTAGTATTGAATTCTCAAACCTTTTCAATAATGAATCCAGATCAATCAACTTTGCTTTGTCTAGAAAACAAATTTCTATAACTTTTTGCCCAGTCACTTACAGTCATCACGTTTCCAAAGAGCTGGCACCAACTCTCTCAACTAGGCTTCCCTGTGCTTCCTGTCCAGTACAAGATCACAAGGGACAGTGTGAGACACACACAGCTTACTAGCACACACAAGGGTGGCTCCCACCCTAAAACAGGATGCAAGGGCCAGTGCTCAGGCTGCCGACTGAGGAAACTAACCCTTTTAAACATCAAGGAGCAGAATCCGGTGTTAGTCATTTAATCAGCATTTGAAATAGCTCAAAAACGTTTGACTTTAATATCACTTTAAAGTTCTGATAGACCACTTTGTTCCCTTTTCTCCATGAGAAAGCAAATCAATCTTTCAATTCATGTGGCTAAATCTGTTCATTGCCTTCTTTAGCAGAAGATCATAATACGTTCAGGTAGTATTTAGTTTGTTCAAGAAGAGTCAGATTTCTTGGTAAGGTATGTGCCTGGCTATGTCCACCCTAACAGACCATACACAAAAGATGTGAGCAAATGCTGTCTTTTAGAACGTATAGGTCTATGATAGGTTTTTATAATATCTGTTTGACATAAGTGTTGTTATTCCATTACATTAATGTTTGCATGGTGTATTTATACTTCCCTACCTAGGTTCTGCAATACCTGTTCACAAGTCATGCTACTGAAAATGTATTCTTAAATGTAAAAATGCACTACAATAAGAATTTTTTTTTACCTTCATAGATACTTTATAATAACTGTAAATTATTGCATCATCCTTACCTTTTACATGAATGAAAGTGCCCTCATCACATTCATGATTGTAAGGAGGGGGATACATGACTTCTTTATGGAAAAAATAAATGTCTGTATGGTTTGCAGTAAGATCCCACAGAAAAAAAGTCACATTGTCAACGGCTGGGGTAACTCGGCAGTTATTCTCCTCAAACGGTATCTGGGTGTAATTGAAGGATCCTACACAAAAAGTCACTGATTTGTTCATTCCTCTGCTCAAAGACACCTTGAATTCCTTGTCAACATTATTAAAGTCTTTGTAAAATGTTAAACTGATGTTGCCTGGGGCATAGAGAATAAATCTGTGTTTCGTTGGTAAGGTATCTACAAAATTGGAAAATGACAATTAGAGAAATGATCACCTTTATCAAACATTAGAATTAGTACAGAACTGCATAGAAAGAGCGCAGCATACATGCTCAGAACCATCTTTCTTCACAGTAGAAATAGGTAAGTACATCAGAATACTCTATTTTGGAAAAAACAAAACCTACGCAACACAAATCCTCCTGGAAGTATTACATGCAAAGAGATGAAGGGAGAGAAGTTGTACTGCAAGTAATGATCGATACAATATTCCACTCCCACCCAGACGATCTTTAATACCCCTTTTAAGGCCCGTTTACAACATAGCTTAATTCTAAATGTATGGGATCTATGAGTTGATCCTGATTCCCTTAGACTTTTTTTTAAATACCGTGGCCAGTTGTGGAAACCTTACTTACAAAAGGATAATGGTAAAACAGAATGAGTCCAGAGACAGGTAACAAAAACGGTGAAAGGTATGATGGATAAAACATGCCAGGAGGGACTGTAGGAATTTAATATTTACAATCTTGAGGAAAGAAAAAGGGGACATGATTGAAACCTTAAAATACAATAAAGGTGTAAATAAGGTTTAGGAGGGTAGTATTTCACCAATATGAAGCTAAGATCAACAACTGGGACATGACCTGAACTTGCAGGAGGAAAGATCAAATCTTTTTTTTAGAAAAAGTAGTTGACCCTTGAAACAGAAATCCAGCAAAGGTACTGAGTCAGTCACCAGTAAGTGAGTTTAAACATACTTGGGACAAACATAAATCTGTACTCAGACAAAAAGGTTAAAGGTTAAAAAAAAAGGCTTGATAAACTATTTGGTCTTTTTCTTCCTCCACTCTTCTGTGTTTCTATTTCATGTACAAATTGTACATGTTGGGTTTATTTTCATCAACATTATCCATCTGTCTCTCTTTTGGTGGGACAGACCAGCCATACACAAAAGGTACATGATTTAGCAATATATATAAAGCATTGTCAAGTATGCCCATATTGGGTTGGTTAACTTAACCTGAGAGGAAGGCCCAACTCTATGCAGTGCACAAGTTACCTTACTCTGCATGTATAGTTATTAAAGAAGAACTCCTGGCAAAACTTTTCTTAGCCCTTGCAGTGGGCTACCCCTGCACTGTGGTGCATTGTTAGAACGCATTGCAGTGCTTGACATTAATTTAACTGTGTGGCAGCGCATGGCAAAGAGTTATTACGCATTGCCGTCAGTTGTGATATGCTGTGCTGTGATTAAATGTACCCCTGTATCATTTTATCACAACACACACACCAGCACAGCACACAAATGATTTTTAACATAAGTCGCTTATTTACAGTTTTGCATTTATTTTTTTACCGTTTCGCAAAAAGACAATTTAAAATTTACAAATATTTGTTATTTATTAACTCAATAAAGTTTTATCTTTTAGATTTAGTCAGAAAAGTATTTTTTGTGCACCGATACTGATTTTAGTGTGCTTTTATCAATTTAATTGTGTATCATTATCGGTTTAATATTGATTTGACAGACATTTGCGCAATTATTGAAGGACCTACAAAATTAGTAGCACCATCTTTTTATTCTACATGTGCTTTCAGAAAATATATGGTTTGGGGGGTATTTTACAAATGCTAGCAACGCAGCAGTAGAAAATCAAAACAATGGCAAAAATTGCAAAAATGGAGTGGCCAGCTGCGGTTAAAAGCGTTGGAGAGCTTGGCAGCAAAAGGGTTAAATGCTCTTTTTTTTGTGTGTGCTTTGTTTTTGTTGTCTTTTTAATGAAATGTATATGGTTATTATGTTTTGTTTTATTTCTTTTTTAACGCTAAGATCTTTCTGAATAAATGTACTAATTGATTTTGGAGATAGAAAAGAATGTAAAATTCAGAAATTTTATTAAGAGCATCTAATTTTAAAAAAAATGCTCATTTTGGTCTAAGGGCAAAAATAACATTATACTCATCCTTGGAGCCGGCTGGCTCTTAGATTGGTCCTTCCAGCCACTCTCCTCCTATGCTTTGCAATGGTGTGTTTCTCAGTGTCTTCTCCTCCTATACACAGTGTATTGGACGTGACGTCTCAAGGATCTTTAGACAGCTGCAGCGAAGATGGGGAGAGACTGGAAGGACCAGCCTAAAAACCAAATATCCAAAGTTGGTTGAGTATAACTGTGTTATGTTTGCACCTAGACCAAAATGAGTACTTAACCCTTGCTGTGTCAGGATAGCACCAATGCAAGGGTTAAGAATAAAATTGCCCAGACTTCTTTAATATAAAAAATGGGAAAATAGTCACATTATTCAGATTGCAGTTCAAAGCACAAGATGCAAATTCATCTTCTATGAGTTGCTTACAGCATTTAATAGAAGCTACCGAAATGCCTGAAAAATCTACCAACAACCTCTACCATTTACCAATAAAACAAGTATCAAGCTGAATAGCTGATCTGAAAAGTTAGGATCTAGAGCTTATTATTAGGATCTGGTTATTTATTGCTATGAAGTAGTCTAATTAGCATACTGTAAGACCTTCCCATCTCCATTGATGGGAAGTGGGGGGGGGAGTCTCGGCGGGCAGGGGGACTCTCAGCGGGCAGGGGAGGCGCAGAACTTGGCCTCGGGGCGGTAGGGAGAGTAAATCCGGCCCTGTGTGAGACACTGTCAGCAAATGGGGACTATATGAAATAATAACCCCTACTTTTTACAACCTGTAAAAAGGAGAGAATACAGTATTTATTTATAGTCTATTTTGTGTTTAACAGAAAACACATAGAGGGGAATGTATCAAAACTGGAGCAGACAAAATCTGGAGGTGTTGTGCATGGCAACCAATCAGCTTCTCTCTTCAGTTAAGATTTGAGCATGAAAGAGAGACGCTGATTGGTTGCAATGCACAGCTGCTCCACATTTTGTCTGCTCCAGTTTTGACAAATCCCCCCCATAGTGAAGTAGTTTGTAAGCATCTTATAAAAGTTTTTCAAATATTTCCCTTTTTGTTAGACCTTTTAATGGAAAGTAAATATGGCTGCCATTCCGTGCATACAGTATATATTTCAAAACTATACCTAAAACAAGGTTTGTAAATCATTAAGACACTTTGATGATTACCTTTTAAATGTATATAACAAAATCTACATAAACTAGATGGTTTCCCTAAAAAGACCTTAGCTTGTCTTTCTGTTCTCGTCGCTGGTCAGTTTTAACTACCAAATTAGGATCCCCAGATATTTTTTGTACTTGCAGCATTTTTTAAGAGACAATGGGGAATGTGCATGTATTGGCACGTTTGACTGAATATATTTTATTGTTATTTCGCCCATAAACTATCCTTGATAGCCTCCTGCAAGATGAAACTGTTTTGGTTGATTTTATATCACACACAAAAAAGGCCTTTCCAGCATACAGGGTCAGTCCATCCAAAAGTGATCCATATATTAGCAGTGGGTGGAGCCTGATCCTCTTGGTCAGCCTCTGGCTTTCTATATGTCTTGGATAATCCAACAGCTAGATCTCCTTGCCATATTTTCCAATGCTGTTTCTGTTCACCTTGGAGTTTTTGATATTCTCACCCATTCGCATTTTCCAGCACCTTTGGTTGGATGCTCCATAATATTAAATAAAATGTTTTTTTAAAAAGGGAAAGCGGGTCCACTCATAAGAGTTACAGGAGGTGAACAGACCCAGGTACCCAAACACAGATATCTCAGCAATAAAATCCCTATTGTCAAGTGGTCAAATCTCCAGCATTGTCAAGTGGTCAAATCTCCAGCATTGTCAAGTGGTCAACTCTCCAGCATCTGCCAACAACTGAATAAACAGTTTTAGAATTGACCCTTTAGACCAGGGATAGGCAACCTTGGCATTACAACTGTGGTGAAACTGCAAATCCTTTCATGAATCTGCCTCTGAGAGTTATGTTTGTGGCTATCAGAGTCTTGCAATGCCTTATGGGACCTGTAGTTCCATAACAGCTGGATTGCCAAGGTTGCCTACCTCTGCTTTACACATACAATTTTATGATACATCCTTGAAGTGAATAAAGCTTGAAATAACTGTCACTGCAATGTTTTCAGATTCACTGTGTGACAGAAAAAATTCAACTGTTTGTTTAAAGCTTGTGAGTGACCATAAGGTATGTGTATACAGAAAATAGGTAGTTATGGCACATGTGTAACTTAAAGTAACAATCAGGGCTCATTCACACCACATCCAGATAATCTCCAGACCAGACCAGATTGTTTCCGGACCCAAAATGCATCCTAATGTATCCCTATGCTATTTCTGGCCTCTGTTCATGCCAGAGCATTCCGTTCCAGACCAGACCAGAAAAATACTGCATGTCTCATTTTGTCTGGTCTGGAATGCAGTGGAACGCATGGAAGCTCATCAAAACGCATACAAATGCAATGGAACGTACTTGATCGCACCTGAAAGCACATTTTAGGCTAAAAAAAACCCAGCTCTGGAACGCGGCAAAATCGCAGTAAAATCATGGTAAAAACGCATCAACACGCAATGCACTGTCAGATACAAATCTTTCAGTACAGGGACTTCTGGGACAAGTATTAAAAACTAGTACATAATATATGTGTTTTATTGTTGCTTTTTATTTACTGTCTCAAGTTTGTTTGTAGATGTATTTGTCAAGCACAAAGCTGTTGTTGTTTGCAAAGCATTAAATCAGTGTAACACGTGAAACAATAATAATAGAAAATTTATGTTTGTACTAAAAGCAGCAGTGGTTAAGCTTACCAGCTGGTGACTGACTGGGTTTTATTACATCAGAAGGAAGACCCCTGTGCACATGTGAACTATCTATTTCCTCTCATTCAGGGGTCCTCCCTAGCAAAGAAGTCAACTTTGTGACCCAGATTTGCTGACTTGCACTGATAACCGCTGAAAACAGCACTGCAGTTGTGTAACACAGGAAGTGGAGGCCAGTAAACAAAACCACAATGTGAAAGGGAGGATAAAAGACAAATGCTTATATTGTGCTTCATTTCTTAAAGGAGAAG